CAGAACAATGAAAAATATTTTACATATTTCCACCAAATTTCATCAAAATCAGATAATTTTTGAATGAGTTATAGAACAAAAATAGTGTGAAAAATCAGTCCCCATGTTAACAGATAGGGATTGTTTGGATTTTTTTTTCGTGACCTTACTATGATCTTGACCTTTGATTTTGACCCTCCGAAAACTAAGCAGTTCTAAGTCCAAATCGATACAGCAGTTTTCGAGAAATCTTGCTGACAAACACACACACACACACAAATACATATACATAAAGGGGGTGTAAATATAACCTCCATCCACTTTCGGTGACGAGGTAATAAAAACGTTATCATATACAAAATTAAAGGATAAAGTTGATAACACGAGGGTTTGTTCGCCACATGTTCAAGGTTTATCAACAAGAATATATAGAATGTAGTGTAACATTCTATCTGCGTTGTAAATTAATAATTTTCTCAGAGGTATAAAAGATAAAAGTTGTGTTTGAGGTCGAATTTACACTGGCCTAACCTTCAGACATTTAGGATCAAGGAACATAAAAATGTGGTAGATATATATAAAATAAACGAGTCAGCTTTAGCAGAAAATGTGTCAGACACATCTCATTGTACACTGGCCTAACTTTCAGACATTTAGGATCAAAGAACATAAAAATGTGGTAGATATATATAAAATAAACGAGTCAGCTTTAGCAGAAAATGTGTCAGACACATCTCATTGTACACTGGAGTAACGTTAAGTTGATAAATCACGTTGAGTTTAAATTTTAATTAAATATTAGAGAAGCAATAGAGATTGAAAAAACAAAGATATTGTGCTGAACAAATATGTTGATCCAAATGTAGAAGAAATAAAGTCTAGATGGCGATAAAGATATACAAATGATTGTGTAGTAGGTAAGTCTTGGCCAAACATAAATTCTCACTCCCGAATATGGTGGCATTAGAACACCAAAACGGCATTTTAGGGCTGGTTCCTGTCTTAATAAATTATTTATTGTGTAATTATTTTAGTTTTATAATCCTTTTCACTATATATATGAAAAAATATGTTATTTTCACGTTATTTGCGTGTTTAGTAAGTAGTTAGGGCAGTACTTCAGACACTGCACGTTGATTGGCTGCCTCAAGCGATAAAGGGGAGAGGTAGATATGATGACGTGCACAATGAAACACCAGAGGGCGATAACGTCATAGTTCCACGAAATAACACCATAGGGCACACTGCTAGAGGAGGGATAGAAGGATAAGATTAAGCTCACGGAATTGATAATGGATATGAACGAATTATATATATATAATTTTTTTTCTTTGATGTGACGCTTGATCTCC